ATCCCGAAAAAATGCACAGACTTCGCTCGTACACGCGTCTGATTCATTTCGTTTCCGATTCTAGCTCCGTGCAAGCGACAAAACGTTGCATAGCGTGCGGATTAATATTCGCGGCATAAGCGTAATCCATGTTCCGTCCATTACCGCGATACGTATCGTCCAACGATTTCGAAAAAAATTCGTGCCGAAAGATACGTTTATCCGACGATTGAAATATTTCCAAATGCTTACGATTGAAATATTATCGACGATCTACGAAAGGTGAGACAAAAGTCGAGGAAAATAGAAAATTCGTTGAATCGAGGGATTCGACGCCTATGACGCCTCGACGTACGCGTGAGCGCACGACTACCACTCTTCGTCTACGGACCACGCCGTCATTTTCATAATGACAATGGCCCGACAGCCCACACGGGGTGCCCATGATGAGTAGTTTACGGTGCGACTCCCGCCACCTTCGCAAATCCCAAGCCGGTCGAGTCACTGGTCCCTGTCGGTCTACATCGAGCAACGTGTCTCGTTAACTATCCTTCGGCTTAACGATTTCATTAGGGATTTTCGCAGCTCCTTGACCGACCACCATTAAACGTAAGATCGATTTAGAGATTATTCAAGCAACACACGAAAATCCATCGAAACGTTTTAAACGAGTATCTTACCTATCGTCATTCTTAGCTGTTAGACGTAGGCCTTTGGAAAGATCGTACCGTTACGATAAAGCATATAACCCAGAGAGGGCGTACTAATTGTAAGTAGACGCTTTTTAACGAGCGCAATTAAAGGAGTACAATCGAATCGTGATTCCGCGAGAGGAAATACACAAACACATAGATATTGGCAATGGTTATCTGAGGAGTGTCATCGAGGTCTCCGTAGGAGAATCTGGATCGGTAGCTATACCTGTTTCACGAAGAGACGATTACGATAAACTCGAAATCGATAAGGATCTCGAGTTTATGAGGGGAACCTCCTTGGGTGGGATGAGGATGATCGGCCGAGATTCTTAATCTAATCTCTGAACGGAGCAATTATCGTTCCTTTGGAGAGGGTCAAAGCCTCTCTCTCTCTCTCTCTCTCTCTCTCTCTCTCTCTCTCTCTCTCTGGCGAGGACAGGAAAAGGCGAAGCACGCTGCACATGGATGGCTAGGCAGGAATAATACTATAGGTAAGTAGTACGCGAAGGAGATACGCGAAGAAAACGGCGCTCGACACTTGCCGCGATGAATGCTCGTGCAGATCGGTAATCTTAATGGGACACCCACGTGCACCGCGTATCCCGGGGGAGAAGCATCCTCGTGACATTAGAAATCGTGCCTCCCAGAACGCGCATCGTATCGATTCGACACGATTCGCACCGGCATGCACCGTTCGTATTCCGTTAATTGCAAATTTATCTATAACGTCGCAGTCGCCGTCGCAGTCGCATAGATATCTCCGCGCAAGACATCCAATGAAAAGTCGTCGTCTCGTTCTCGAGCGATTAAGTCGAGCGAGAAATAATCCTTGGTTTTCCTCCGTTACGAGTCAAACCAATCGATTACACGTAAAAGCAAGTCGGTAAATCAGTCGTAACATTTCATTCTTATTCTTCCTTTCCTTAACCATGGTATATCCACCTTCTAAGGTCTTTTCCTTTCTCCATTTTATTTTTCACTTTTTCTCAAACGCTTTTACTATCCATAGATTCGCGCTTCTCGTCTCTTCTTCGTTATCGGCCATCGAGAGATGGCAAGTAGCTTGGGTTAGCACGAGCGCGAGTCGCTTACATTATTGTCAGAGCGTGACTCATTCGATGTCTGTCGCTCGACCACGCGTGATTATTTCACGTTTCAAACCACCTCCGCGGTGGTAGGTATTAGCTATACATTGCCACCTCCCGTTTCCGTACCTACATTGCGAGCTCTCCTACTACCATCGATCGCGTTGGCAGCCTCGCGCTCAAAACTTTATTCCTTTCTACTTTCCGCAACTTTTATTCCCCTTAATCCGTCCTTTCCCCGTCTCATCTAATAACTATTTCGAGATAATCGCTCTCTCATTTATGAAATACATTGCAATGTTGAGAGATTATAGAGCGTAAATCATGTAAATTCGAATGCGCCTTCGAAGGAACGATATACTGAAATCGATTTATTTTCTATTAGAAAGCCCATTAAATTCTAGACAATAATAGCGTCGCGGTAATTTACTAAGTATTCAAATAGTTGCGCGAGCTGTTGATCTTGATCCATTATAATAAACGATTACTTTCGATCGTGGAACGTGATCAAATCGTAATAATTTGATCGGAAAGATATTCCTTTTTCCAGGGAAATGAATAATAGAGAGGAATGTGAATAAAATCTTTTATTAATCTTAACGCCTCTTCTAAAGGCGAACAACGCGTAACGTCGTCGCATTTCACTTATCCAGAAGACATTTAACACAATGGTACGTCGACTAAGACAATGCGTCGTTAACGTCTATCCGTTCTTCCGTCACGATTTTTCACCTGCCCGTTCCCGCTCAGTGAAAATAAAGAACGAGTCCCTCGGTCCATGTCTTCCCGACGTCGAGCAATTTCGCGAATGCCGCAGGTCGCCAAACTCGTATGAATCCTACGAAAGTCTTGCGATTACAATTAGTAGCGACTCTTAACGAGACAGTCGAATAATCGTGAACTTCTTGCGAGGGTTAATCGACATTTGCAAACAATGAAGTGACATGGAAGGTAGTACATAACTACTCGGCTAGCGTAGGAAACGTTAATGGGCGTCGTCGTTAAGTATTCTCCAAAAATTCTTAAACGTATTTCCGCCGAGTCGATTCGCAACGTCTATTCGATTTAATTCCGATAATAAACATCCAATTTGAGAAAGAGAGAGAGAGAGAGAGAGACGTTTCGTTCTATTCTCTCAAATCGTTTTAGCTCTTCCATTTAACAAAGTCCATAACGCATGAGTCCATAATACGCACTAGAACGTCTATCGAGATTTCTCGATCTCGTTCCAACGATCGAACGTCTTCGTTTACCTCTATCGAGCCTCTCGGTCTCTCGCTCCCTGCTCTTCTTGCGACAATGCGGACCAATGCGGGAATGCAGTCGTAAAACAAACGATAGAGAGATAATATTTTCTAGCGAGCAAACAATGGCTAACTTACGGCGATCGTAAACAATCCCCTTATCCGCAGGTCGTTAACGCTGCATAATAACTTTCATCAACCCCCGCCGAGCTACGCGTACCTACACACACTTTGTCTATCGACATAGTTTCGTTAGGTGAACCTACCACTTCCTCCAATTTCGCATCGTTCCATGCTGTTGTGACCGGGCTTACTTTGACTAAAAACGTTTATGTTCGTCGCAAAACACCGGATCTAGCTCGTTATCCATTAACAACGTGAACAAAGTGAATAAGATACTCGGGAGTAGTTGAGAAAAAGGTGAATTTACGTTTCGCTCTGGTACCCCAATAGAATCGATTGCGCAATTCTCGCAATCGATTTCGTCGCGAACAAAAGTCCTTCTCTTTTAAACCGTCCGATGATATTTCCAAATCACAGAAAAGAAAAGGAGATAAAGCAATAGGTGAGAAAAATTGCTCTTGATAACGCCTCGATTTCGGGCCTCGCCACGCCCACGTGCACCAACGAATGATCTATTTACGATCGAGCGTGATCTATCGGCGATCGACGAACCGTGGGTGTCGGACATTCGATCCACTGTACTGGATATCTCGTTGCGGTGAGAGGTCATTCTGACTCATTTGAGCCTCCGGTGCGATGTGTTAACGACGCCGGCGCACAGCCCTAGTAACTGCAATCATAATGCGGCGCGATTATATAAGCATAAACTAAGAGATACGATACCAAGGCGAATTACGTTGTTCGTATCGTAACTCGTACCGTCTCGAGCGCCTAAGTCTAACTGAGATACTTTACGAGCTACGAAAGTGGACGACGAAGAGGAAAGAAAAAGAAGAGAAAAAAAAAAAAGAGCATGAGGATGAAAGGCTTCGACTCATAACCGAACGTAATGCGATTACGGTGCTCTTCGTAAAGGTTTTTTTTTTTTTATTTTTCTACGATAAATCGTTTATCGTACGATCCGCGCGATCTCTTAAATATCTGCGCGATATATCTATCTTAGACCATATTGATTTCCCTTTTCGGCTTTATCAAATAAAATCAACTAGTATTTTCACACGAAAACGATGTTGTTGAGAACGTCGAACAGGAAATACAAATGATCCCTGGTTGGATTCAAAAGAAACGTTATTAATCGTCGAAAGATCAAAGAACATTGTCCCTGAGATAGGGAGAAGCAAACCGGCTTCTTAATCGCGTTAATTTGTAAATCATTTGGGCCGTTCGTCGAAGCTATAAAAAGAAAAGAAAAGGTATGGCAGGCCGACGGGTCTATACACGTCGTCGCAAAACACCCCCCGGGGAGGTTCCGACTCGGTGCGGCGTGATATATCGATCGAAGCTCCGATTGCGTAAGTGCAATTAAAGCGATCTTGTAATAGTCAGGTCGCGTATTATTAATGAACGAAATTCGCGCTGACGCTCCGAGCGCCTTCTTGTCTATCTATCTCCCCGCTCGATCTCCCCCCACGGCCAGACTGACTAAGCGTAATTTGCCATATTGTCTCTAATAATCCCAACTAATTAGTTTGCTCTGATATTTTTATGGATCGTTAGAACGAAAAGACGAAATCAAGAAAGTAAAACAATTGGAATTTCAAAATAAGAAGAAAATACTACTTTCGTCCTCCGATTGTCTACCGTCGCTCTTAAGGCTCTATTGCGAGTGAGCGAGTGGTCAAAGAAACTAAATTGAAATGTAAAAGCGGACTAGGAAATAATCAAGGTCTCTCTCTCTCTCTCTCTCTCTCTCTTTCCTTCGCTCGTTGCTCCTTCTTCCTCGGCAAACAGCGCATAAAACCCGGCCGGTCATAAATCCGCGACCTCCGGCCAGCGTGATAGCCGGACTTCGTTTCCCTTTCCTTCCCTCTTACCCTCTTTCTCTCTTTCTCCCTTGCCAAGTAGTAGTGCCGCCTTCGCCAACATCCTCCGCATCGTCGCATTACCCTTGGCTCTTGCGCAGAACTAATTCCATCCTCTAATGGATCCACGGACTCTCTTTGCTACCGTATTCGCTATGCCGAGACGTTAAACAGATTTAAAGTGGCTCTTCTCGGTTGGACTGACCTTTAGCTTGACTCTCCTCGAGATTCAAACGCGAACTGCTCGTGATTGATCTTCGTACTAAATAAAACGCCGTTGTTATTGTTTCGGATAGAGAGAGAAAGAGAGAGAGAGAGAGAGAAGGTCATTTCCCAATGTCTCGCATATTTGTAAATCAAAGCAAGCGAGGGGATACGGTGCGTGCGACGTAAATACGTCTCTTTCTTCAGTCATTTACGCCCACCGACACGACCGTAGCCACGCGAGCATAACTGATTCGCTACTAAGATTTATCCGGTCCACCGCGATCTTTTAACGGAGATTTCCTTTGTTGTGTTTATTGGCTTCACATACGGACGAACGTTTACGATGACCGTGATGTGTAATTAAAGTAACACGACACCTCGCTCCGTAATGAAGACGCTTTATAGAGCTTCGGAATGAGATAGAACAAAGGAGAGAGAGAGAGAGAGAGAGAGAGGACGAGTGAGTGAGATTGTCTATCCTACCAGCGACATTTTATACCTTCGTCACCGTCTCCGAGAGATAATATAAGAAGCGCACGCTCTGCATATTTGCATAAAATGCAAGTGCCGGCGGTTAAATCGTCATGGATAAATAATTATCTCGACTGATTTGTAATTAATCTTGTTAGATTTCCGTTAGAAACTTGACGCTATAGTTAACGTTTATAAGTTCCATTACTATTGTCCGTTTAACGACGAGTAATATTCTCGTTTATAAATCCTAAACTCATTCGGTCGTGGATATATCGATCGAAGGATTCGGTCCTCGGTAAATAACGACGATCGAAAGAGGCACGATAAAAAAAAAGGGTTCTCGGAGGAGCCTCTTGTGCAATTTCAACGAGTCTTTTTCTTCTTCTTCTTCTCTTCCTCCTCCCTTCTCACGTGCATGCGACATAACTTTCGAGAAACGACTTCTGGCCGGGTCTACGGTGGACAATCAGATAAGCTCGAACGCCCGCACGATCTTACGTAACTGTACGCGCGTTACGTCGTATAAACGAAACTCGCGACACACCGGGAGTTAAGCGCGCTCGCTACGAGCACAAAGCAAGAGCTTCGTTTCTCGATGAGAAAGAAAGGAAAGAGAGAAATAAGAAAGAGATCGTTTCTCGATGCCATTAGTAGGTACTACTCTTGGAGAGATCGCTCCGAGAGATCCTCCACGAGAAGTGTCTCCTTCCCTTTATTTCTACCTTCTTATATATGTGTATATATATATATATATATATATATTTTTTTTCTCTCTCTTCCCTTTTCGTCGCTACTTTTCTTTCCTTTCACGAGAAACCGTGTCTTCTCAATCGTAGATAAGAGAATGGTCTCGTTAGAATATTTTATTTAAATCTATATCAACGCTCGATACCTCCTCTTCTGCAAAAGCGAGTACCTATTTTTATAGGTAATAACGCAACGTGCATACGATGTCCGATATCAATTTTTTGAGTACCGTTCGATTTAAAGCTACCAAGAAAAATAAAGAAATTGTGAAAGAGGGAACGAAACGTCGTGGCCAAGTTAAGACGGTGATATCGTAAGATCTTGAAAGCTTCGGAATTCGGATGAACCCGCATCGTTCCTACGTGGCGCCGTGCATATATTTTACGAGTTTTTGTAATCCTCCTTTTTTCTCATCCTCGGTGATGTCCTTAACCTCGTGCCTAAGAATTAGTCACCGAATAGAACAGAAACAGATCTTTTTCAAATGGCTTTTCTCATTAAATTCATCTCCATTCGCTAGGTAAAGGATTAAACATTTCATTATAGGACTCCCATCTTGAGCTTAATTGACAAAAATTGATGAATGAAATTGATAATGAAAAAATCCTCACGGCCGATAAAGTACCAACGGATAGTAGAGCAGGCAGCTTAATTACCGTCGATCGACATTACAGAGAGCTCTTCTCGAGCGCGCCAAATTGAAATTTTATAGAGACGAAGGGAAAGAGGCCACAGAAATAATATGCGATATCAAATGTTTTATAAATTGAACATTCTTTTAACATATAATTCGAGAACGAATAATAAACGTTATCAGGCACGCTTCGTATGTACAAAATAATAATATACAGAATGTGCGTGGGTAATTGCGTCCTTAACTCTGGTTGTTCACGCACATGATGTAAGAATAAATAATGATGTATCGTTTGCGAGAGTAAAATCAAAAATCTCGAAAAATAGATCTTCAATCGTTTTCTCGTAAAGCTAACAGATAGGAAGAAAATTTGTTGGTCGATACGATATCAACGCATTAAAACGCTATTCGTTATAATCAAATAAACGATTCAAGTCTACGTTTGCGATACGCAAAGATCCAGAAGGATCGAGCATATCACCGAAGACGGGTGCAATATCATTCACGGTGTTGGAATTCTTTCTCATTTATTTTAATATACTGCTTTTCCTCCAATAAGAAGACTAGGAATGCTCTGCAGTAAAAATACGAATATTACGCGTTTAAATATTTAAAAGCTAGAGACTGGAATTGAATTAGAAATATGAAATGACATCTCTTACGTCTTTCGCGAAATCAATTTTTCAATTTTTTGCGCGAGATAAAAATATCTTTGATCCGTTTTACTAATATAATTATTTCGTTAAAGACGAAGAGAAATCAGAATGCCAAATATTTCTCTAAATTCCAGCTGTGCGAATTCTGTCGAGAAAATTATTACGCGTGTCAATACAATGACCATTTGTAATTATTAACTTTTCAAGCTCTTCGCCGTTTGCCTCTTAACGTTATTCTATGTTGACATAATAGAATCGTTCATCGAGCTTTCTTTATCCATTAAAACGAAGAGACAACTAAGTTTCTATATCTTTTCAAAAAGCTTCTCTTTGTAGATTAATAAATAGTTTTACGATATCGTACAAATTTAACGATTAAGCGAATGTTAAATTAATGATATTCAGCGAGGATAAAATGGCAACGTAATCGATCGATCGAGGTCGAGCACAGTCGGCTTGATAAGACGAGTGATCATAGTGAAAGATAACATTTACAATTACGTATTACAAACTAAGTTACATGTGGGTAAAAATTTGTAATAATTGCAACGAAAGATATTGTTACGAGCTTAGATAAAACATGTTTTTAAGAAATGTCATGACTCTTGCCATTTGCTCTTTCAATATATAAGATTTTATCAAATGCTATGTACCATAATGCTACGAAGTTTCGTTTCTCTCTTTTTTTTTCCTTTTTTGTTTCTTTTTTTTTTTTTCGTTTTTCTTCTTTTTATCAATTTTTAATATCTTTCTCAGTATTATGCTGTCAAGTCAAAGTGATAAAAATGTTCTAGAAAGTGTTTCAAGTTTTGAAAGTAATATCCCTCTTGATATTCGAAAGATATTTTATCTATATATAAGTGTTATAAAAATAAATAAAATGAGAACGGTTTACTAATCTACGCGTGTGCATGTAAAATAACAGCTTTCTTTTGTTTTTTTTTTTTTCTTTTTTTTTCTCTTTTCTCTTTTTTCTTCTTTTAATCCAAAAGTCTTACGGAATATTATACTATTCGGGCTCTATTTAAAACGAGCCATCTCTCTTTTCGTGATATTATAAAAATGAATAAATATAGACATCTATATAAAGTGAGAAAAAGTGAGGAAACACGATGACTCTGTAAAATTAATCTCTTTGCGATAAGATATAATTCTATAATTTGAGAAAGGAAGAAAATGCAAATTTGTTTCTTTTCCTCTTAGAGTAAGTCGCTATAAAAAATTACTTACGCAGATATTAATATTGTCGTTGGTGAAATAGTGTCTCTTTATATCGATAACATCAGATCGTAATAAACATGGCTTAATTTTACTATGTATGTATCAGTCTCAAAAGTAGATCGAGCGGAAGTCAATCGATGTACAATTTAGGATCAGATTGGCCAGTATTTTCTTACTACAAAATGTCTCGACCGTCGACGTTTTTAACGCGTGCGTCTTATTGCTAACGAAAGCTATACGCAATCCATTTAAGTATCCTATTATATCTTTCGACCGACTAATGCGACGGAATATCGTCTAGAGATCTATTTTAAATCTCTCACTTCGTTTTATTTATACTCCAAAAAATCTTCAACGAGCTTTAAGACATCGTCGAACGTTTAACCTTCTGGTCGCACCCTCATATTTTTAGGAAAGCGGCGCAATTATTGATCGCACATCTAGTACATAGATCGTACATTAAAAAAGGAAGAATATTTTGGTATACATTGTTTTGGAATAGCCGTAGCTAGTAAAACTGGCCAAGAATTTTGGCAACGATTCAAAGCTTGATCATCAATTGGCTCTACCATAAACTCTCTCGGTAGAACAAATGTAACGAAATTGTTATTCTTTGGCTCTTAAAAAGTTCTAACAAAAGATATATACCTCGAACTAGTAACCGTCGATTTAAATTCTAAGCTCTATTCTGCCTCTTTATAAATCGTCCACGCACGTTATACACACTTGCAGCCCTTTTACTTTTTGTAAAACTTTTTACTTTTGTGTTACTTTTTGGCCACAAACTGTAATCGATTAAACTCTTACATTATCTAACAAAACTTTTGACTAGTGGCCACATCAGAGAACGGAGACTTCCTCGGTGTCCTTGTTATTCCTTGGCATCATGGACACCATTTCTTCCGTTTGTAAGTTTCCCGTATTGCCATTCCTACTAAGTTGCCTCGTCGAGGTCACCATTCCTGGCAAAAGATTGACGTACTTGTGTACAATGTCTTTCTGTTGCTTGTTGGAATTCTGGCGAGAAGCAACGGGCCCCTTTATCGTTCTTTCGAGACCTAACAAAGGAATTGTACCATCTTGACTGGAAATTCTTCTGTCCGAAGAGAACTCCAGATTTTGATTGTCATCGTGGGAATTTATTTCGAGTAGAGGCGGACTGATCGACGTAATCGACGACGTTGGATCGGACGATTGCGTAGACGACTGTTGTTGCTGCGACCAGGGCAAAGAGAATTTTCTCACGCTATCCGTCAGATGCATCTCCATTTGCCCGGTGTGTTCAAGCTGTACACTAGCAAGAGGTACGTCGAGGCAAGGAGATAAAATTCGAGGATTCGTCGCCAAAAACTCGACGATCTCCGGTGCCGATGGTCTCTCATGTTGATTTACAGACCAACAAGAGTACATCAAGTTTTCTCTATAGATAAGAAATAACGTTAATATCAATAAAATTTCGCTGTCATCCCTTTTATGATTCGTTATTTTCGATACTTACAGCGGTGACTTGACACCTTTAGGAACTACAAGACAATTGCCGGCCTTAACGTGAGCTAAAACCTCGTTATTGCTCATCCCTTGGAAAGGGAAGCTCCCAAATGTAATAATCTCGTAGAGCAAAACGCCATACGACCATACGTCGGAGGCAGCGCTAAATATTCCCAAACCAAGGGACTCTGGTGCCATCCATCGTACGGGCAACATACCTGCTTGGCATAAGAAACGATTTATGATTGAACAAAATTCGAGATATATTTCAGATGTAAGACGGCTTAAACGATTCGTTTGATGGAAAAATACCTTTTCTATTAAATCTATAATAATCGTTCTCGTACATCGGCCTGGTCATACCAAAGTCGCCGAGTTTAACGACTCGTTGTGCGTTTATCAGGCAATTACGAGAAGCAACATCTCTGAGGAAAAGAAATTCATCGATTAATCGAACGGATAATACCTTAATGCTTTCAAACGCTTCGATAAGTAAAAGATTTACCTATGAACATATTTTAATTGCGCTAAATAACTCAGAGCTCTTGCGACGTCCAAAGCCATAGCTGTTAATTTTTTATTCGATATCTCGTCCGAATCCTCGTAGCTTTGATCGTTTACCAAATGTCTTCTCGCGAGTAGATACGTTTTCAAATCACCGTACAGCATGAATTCCATAACCGTGAGAACAGGTTCGGACTTTAAGCAAACGCCAAGCAGCTTGATAATATTTTTATGCTCGAATCTTTTCATAACTTCAAATTCGCCCAAAAAGTCTGATTTTTCGTCGGTCGAACTTCCAACTTTCAATGTCTTCACCGCGACAGCCAGCCAACCCTTTTCAGGGAAGAAAGTTTCGCCACCGTATACTGTACCGAAAGCACCCTCGCCGATCTTTCTATTGATCACAACTCTATTTCGCGGTATGTCCCATTTGTCTAAGCTCGAGGTATCCAATTTGGAAAAGTCAAGTCCCAAAGACTTCATATATTTCTCGTGAAGCCGAACTTTCTCGTCGTATCTGGTCGAACAGAAAAAGAAGAAATAAAAAAGAAAGAAACGAAAAAGAGGGAAGAAAGGAACATTTGTAAATGTGAAAAACAAGATCGTTGCGAGCTTTACGTACTTTCTCTTGACAAAAATAAAACCAATGATGAGCAATATTCCAAGGAGACCGAAGCCGATGATATTGACGATCACGATGGCCGCTTCGCAGGAAACTTCTAAAAGTTCAGCGAGTCCGCTGAAAACGCATTTAGGTGGAGGCTCGGAGCCGTCGTCGGGCATAGCTTTCGACAGCCATACAAACGCGGAGATGTTCAAATCCAATCTACCGCCTATCACTTCCCTTCCAGTCTCTGAAATGTTTGGATGAAAATTTCCAATGATGCGCGTTTCGTTATCAATATTTTGGACAACATTAATGATGGAGTATCTCGATGGTCCGCCAATGAACTTGATTCGACCGGAAACCTATAAAAAAAAAAAGATGGAATAAAGAGAAACTCGTCGTCGAGCGTATCTATAGGAGTTCGATGAATTATTCTAACGTATTAGGAAGACATTACGAACCCCATTAAAATCGGTAGCACCGATAATGTTGGTCAAACGATTGACGGTCTCCTCGCTATGAAGTCGAAATACGTAGCTTTGATTTTCTTTGATTAGAGCATCCATCGCGTAGGCATAGGTCCACATGGCGTCATAGGCATATCCAGCGTAATTGGACGGCGTCTGATTTCGCATTTTACACAAGGACTCGTAACGATCGCGCCATTGCCGTACCGTTATACCTTCCTGCATGATGTCATCGTCCGATGCAAAGTACGCATGCGACAGACCAAGATGCCCATTTATTGCTTTTGTCATCTCAATCGTACTGCACGGAACCTGCTCGCCTTGTGCGTTATATTGATCGGTATCGTACCACTGCGGTCGAAGCCATAAAGGCAAGAACCAAACGTATCCCTAGAAGGAACGAAACGAAGGAACAAAAGGAGAGTGAATGTTTCTTTTTTTTTTTTTTGTTTTTTTGTTTTTCTTTTTTCAAAAAAAGAATCCGAAAGATTACTTGGACAGCCGTCATTTCCAGTTTATACGCTTCGCACATGACTTGCCGTGCGACTTGATCGTACACATCGGCGATAATTATCCTTGCCCGTTTCTGCTTCAAATCTAGAAGGCTCTAAAACAATAGATAAGGCAATTTAAGGCAAAATCGCGTTTTAAACGATTAACGAACAACGTTCGCAAACGCAAAGCCAGTACGCACCTTCGTTATCACGTCAGGATCCCATTCTCTCGGAAACTTTGCATTCGCCACGAACGTAATGCCATTATCGCGCAGCATATCCTGCATATACGATATATATTCCGTATACTTTTGTCCATCCTCGGTCAACGACGCAACTCGGCGCCAACCCAATCGCTGAAGAAGATACAGATATACGTGTTTGTATTGTCTGTTTTCACCGATCGTCCTAAAGAAGTAAGGATATCTAATTCGATCTTTGAAGCTGGATCCTTCGGCGCTATAACTGATGATCACGGTATTGTAATGCCTCGACACGCCGACAAGGGGTTCGACGGTTTCGGAGCAAGCAGGTCCAAGAACGCCGACGAGTCTCACGTAATAATTATGGACGATGTAATCGATGAAAGATTTCATTACCATGTCGGACTTGCACTGGCCATCGCTCGCCAATAGCGCCATATTGTAGTCCCTCAAAAGACTATTGTTAAAGTTTATCGCCTCTCTCGCCATGTTGGCAGCGATCACGATAGATTTGGCAGTGTAGGACGTGCCGGTCATTGGGAATATTCCACCGACGTAAAGAGTGTTTTTATCGTCATTGTTCGGCATCCACTTGGACATCGCATAATTTAAATTGTCCGTAAGCCAACCACAGCCGATCTTCGCCTCATCAAAGTTCTTCGAATGCACGTTGTACCGATCGATCAAATTTTCATACATCGCCGACGTAAACTTGACGCGATTTATGCTCTCAAAGGCAAACTTTGCCGCCGACTCCAATCCCGTCCAGACGACTTTGGTCAGTCTGTTAGATTCGTAGGCACAACCGAGCTGCGAGTTGTTCGTACCGCAACGTGGAAAATTGATGCTCACGAAATCTCTCTCGTTGGGTATCACGGTACTCGGTGTCCAATGAACGATGACCAACGACCTTTGCCTAATGGCGAGTAAAAGAAAAAATTGCTCGTTACTGATATCCCTATATGGGAATATAAATGGAATTAAAAATACCTGATGTTCGAAGAGGAATTTGTCGACGCGTTAGTGTATTCCTCGATCAGACTTTTCGTAAGCTCTCTCAAATGTGATCCGACCCAAGCTACTTTGACGTAAAGATTTAAACTATCGATATCCTCTTTGACGAAGGACGTTACGTCGGGATGACCGGCCAAGAGTAGAGCGCAAGGTTGGGCCTGTTTGTCGGAAGTTTGGCATTGCCGAGGAACGTACATACCGTGCTGACAATAGGACGTCTCGCAGTAATAACTATTCGTAATCGGATTGATCGTAAAATCCTTGATCCGAAGTAGATTCGATTCGGAAACGTCGAAGCGAGCTGCTCTTTCCTGTTTGACAAACGACACCCAGCTATCCTCGATGTTGTACAATTTCTCCGGTACGAACCAGGCGAAATGTCCCGGCGGCGCGACCGCTCCACATTCTTTCACGTCGTATTTGTTCAACAGCGGTATCGTATCCTCCTGCGGCGGTATCCACACTTCCATATTTACCATTGTATCGGGAAACCTTTTTTAAGAAGAATAAAACAAATACACCTTGCTTCTTTCTTCTTTCCTCGAATCCAGAACGAAATCCCCCTGCGAATCTACTTACTTTCTGACCCCGAATACCAAAGTGTCGGATAATCTTTCGTAAATATCTGTTAAGTAAAAATCGTCATCATTCTCAACTATCTCTACGTCCATATAGCCTAATACCTCCTCCAAAAAGATCTTGGTAACGTGAGTGACTAATCTCTGAGTGATCTTTCGCGAAACTTCGAATCGTAACCCAATGGTTTTACCATTGAAGACGACCAATCGTTTTGGATTAACTTCTGCGAAAAGGATATCGAAGTGAAAGCTCGAAATTGTTTCTATCATATAGATCATTCATCGTTGGACCATGCGTACCTTCTAACTTCGTAAGGCAACGATTGGATTCGATGATCTCGAAACAGACCAGAATCAACAGGAGGCCAAAAATTCTCCATGATCTTGGCATCTTGACGTATGTTTCCTGAAACACATTTTTTTTTTTTTTCTTTTTCTTTTTATCAAACATAACCATTTCACAGTCATGACGTTTAAATACTTGTTAAATTAAATAATTGACGTAGTTAAAACGCGCGCTTTCGCGTTTCTACATAGCAATAAACGATAAACTTATAGTTGTTTGCGAAAGGGAAACATTGGTTACTTATAATCGCGGAGATAATGCAAGTAACTATTTTCGCGATATGACAAAAACGAGACGTACCTACGATACGTATACGCGCACGTTTCTCGATACCGTTACTCCTGGTGCGGCGTGCGTGCGTGCATGCGTGCGCACGCCTATGTGCCTCGATATACTGCAAAACAGAATTGAGCTCTGGGAACGAGCTTAATTGACCGAACGTCTGGGAGTAACTTTATGCGCGTAGATAGTCGAGTTATTAGACCATTTAACGATGTAATAGCAAATGAAAATGAATATCGACAACACTAGACTAGTTTTTACGCATGAAACATCTTTGATGACGTTTAATCATGGCAATTCCCAACTCTATATACCTCGAAGAAGATATAAATCGAGTTTAGATAAATTATGCGTAAATCGATTTAAAACCAATAGTCATCCTGATTTTTAACAATTTATTTCTCGTTAAGCAATGCTCTACCAAGGACTCTCAACCATAGCCGCGAACTGTTAACGCGATGCAACTCGAATGACATAAAATTTACGATTCCATCGCGATGAATTTCAATGTGACGAACATATATATATATATATATATATATATATATATATATATATATATATATCGACATATAAGTCGGGGTCAAAAAGGGAGGGTTGGTCGTGGAAGCAGACACCGAGACTTTCTGGCGCCTGCCTTGCGGCGTCTCGCCGAAACGTATTCGAATGAACGTTTTCTCGTAACGACCAAATGTGTTTTCATAAAAACAAAATACCATTTCGAAATAAGTATTTACAATAGCATGAGAAAAAAATATTGTTATTTATACGAGAGCTATCGATCGTCGATAAAAATTCTTCGAATTTGACGCTTAACGTAATTCCCTCAATTCGCAGAATGAATGTATCTATTACATATATCTATTACATATGAAACAAACAACGTAGCAACGACGTCGATATATCTTGAAGAATAAAATGAATTAAGGAATATCATGTCGATCGAGATAAAAGATTAAATTGGATCGAACGTGGAGGCACTTATAGCAACAAAGTAAAAACCTTCTAGACGATACTACGCACGGCGCGATAACGTTCTCCTTTCGATAAACAGAGTTTTTTTCAACAGGACCTGTGCCGTTTAGACAGGTGTGATACCAGATCGACGTGCTATAGGATTGGTCGAACGACCGTTAGTAACCATCGTTGCTGAGAACAACGACAACGAGGACGAGGAAAAGACGATGAAAGAGCTACACAACGACTAGAAGCAACATGAGAAACGCAACGATCGTCCCTATGCTATTCTGGGACGGTCGACGGCATTGCGACGGTGCCTTGACTTCTGACCGTTTCTCGTCGTCGTGGTCTCAAATAGTACGATTTGCTGCCACCTTTAACACTTTTCCTCCTTAACAGAGGAAAAAGAGCCTAGAAAAAGGAGCTTTACGATCGTCAAAAATATCGTCAAGACCCGCCGTTATAATAGGTACTATACGTGCGAAAGTTTCTTACATTTACGTATTATCAAGAATTAAATGGTTCATGCGGAACGATATTAAAATCGATGTTACTCTTAAAAAATCTGAAAACATTCTAATTTCCAAGAAAGAATATACAAAATAACATTGATACGAGCGCAAGGTCGAGGGTTAACGCGATCGTTGAAGCGTACACTATTCGTGCGTCCATGAGAACGTACAAGGTTACACTACGAGAAAACATAGTTTGCCTAGTTCTCGTCTCGCTCGATCGTGATAAAGGCATCTGTCCTCTCTTTCTCTCTCTCTCTCTCTCTCTCTCTCTCTCTCTCTCTCTCTCTCTCTCTCTCTCTCTTCCACTCGTTACGTCGTTCGTCTTTATTTTCTATTTTATGTTCTTTCGATCTCCAATCCTTCTTCACGAAAACAACTCGCAATGTAGTCAGCAAAGTAGTCAGACTTTTGAAAATAGAGGCGATCTTGGAATATCATAGAAACTTTATGATTTCTTTTATATACGTATATTAAGTAATATATCATAGCTGGTAAGCGATTACGAGTGATATTTTCATTCTCGTTGCGTCATGTAGAGACTATTACGAAGTAAATAACAACGAATAGCAGGGTATCGTCCGAGGGTCTATTCGACACGTTCGTTTAAAGTGAGCGACACGAATGACGTTGGAAAGTAAATAGAGATAAAGAGAAACTGGGGATCGAGCAATATAATATGATCGAAAATATTAAACGATTGCAATTTAGTCGTTTTGTCAAGGCGTTTAAGTGGCCCAACCTACGACCTCCCTTATCACGAATGAATAAAACATTATGGAGTACGAAGCACGTCGACGAATAAATGAATTGAACTCTTACCGATGCACTTTGAACTCTTGGCCCTCCTTCTTCCTTCTCCTCTATCCGCCGCGAGCACATAGGTATAAAATGGTGCGTACATTGAACGCTTTAAATAATAATTCGCACGCTTCATAACGCGTACAGCGCGTATATTATCGATGAATGACGAAAGAACGAATTAAAAATAAGAGAGCCATCGTGTTTCCTATTTATATTTATTCATTCATTCATTTATTTATTTTCGAAAGGAGAAAAAACAAATAAATGTATATTCTTTTATAATAAATATTTGACATTATCGTCAAAGTATCGCTTTTCTTATTCGCGAAATATTATTACGCTTTTAGAGTCTTCCACGTCGCGTGGCCCGTCGAAGAAAAATGCATGATAGCATGTTTTTACGACGAGAACGAACGAGACGAATGGTAAGAGGAGACCGTAAAAATAAAATAACCAATAATATACGTATTATGTATGTGTGTATCTATGCGCATGTATATTGTATTAGCATTACAATTCGCGGAAACGATTAAGCATTGCGCATACTCATTATTTTTCATAAAAAGATGACGTCTTTTATAAGCTTTCGAGCTTTCATTTTTCGAGCAAACGAACGATCATTCTAAAATTTTCTTCTCACCGATAAATCTCAGCGATAAGTTTCTCAAGTACAATGACGCCCAGCAACGAGAATAGTTTACGCACGGTGGCTTCCCGGTCGTCTTATTATTTTCGAGACGCGTATCGAGCTATCATCGTCAAGGCCGACTTGAAAGTGTTTGCTCTTGACACAAGCTATAATACTGGCTATCGCGAATATACCGTTTTCGAGCAGTAAGCTCTTTGAAAACATTCAATTTAATAAGCGAACTTTAGCCGATCCTTACCCTTCTTAATCGAATATCGTTTGATCTATGTCATAATGGATATGTGGAAATATATATCGTGTAATTAAACAAATTTATCGATACGAGAATGCAAACAATTATAAAATATGCTATTATAAAATGTCGACTTCGATATTGATTGACGTCACGATGACACTAGCAGTTTATCACATCGAGATCACGTCTATTCCGATCAACCATGATAAACAACAATTATCGTGGTACAGATAAGCGCTGACGAGAATCATGGTTGGACGAGCATTTATATTTGGATTCCTTTCGTATTTCGAGTTCTTCGACGATGGGATGCGATTAGCGTCCAACTGCAATATCATCGATAGATTAGTCACACAGCATGCAACGATTTCATGGCAAACTCTTCGTTATTGTCTTCATCGACAGTTTATCGTTGCCTTTTATATAATCGACGAAGATTAAAACTCCATATACTGTAGAATTCAATTGGAAAAGAGAAAACAACGAACGAACGAACGAGATGCTTTTTAGTTCTAAGAACCGTGATCGGTCCTACAGATTTATGAACATATTCGATCTACTTTTACAGTCATTGTAATTCTATATCCTACTATCGTTCTTTCACGTTGAATGAAAAAATGTGTAATTTATAACGTACGTTGACGTAAATTGGTAACGTTATTTACGCGCGTCTAAGAAATGCGATGCTCGAAACGAACATTATATAAAAAAAGACTAACACACGTAATACATTGTATCGGCCATGACGGTCAAGTATTTTTCTCGTCATTCACGTAAAATATTACTGTGCAAACTTGGCGCATTGTAAGATGTCGCAAAAAGTATTTGTTTTTACGACTCGCTGAAACATATTGACCACACAACCTTCCGAGTCGTTAAAAAGACAACGACGACGACGACGACGACGTAACGCGCACACTATCAATATAACACAAGATTCATTGGGCCGTCTTTGAACGTCGAGACTAGATAAAACCTTCGACTGAAGGTCAAGGTATATCGATTCAATCCGATCGTAGGAAAGAATACGTCGGTATGAATTTTTTTTTAGCGAGCTATGAGACAAGAAAATCTCATCGTGAAAAGGCCACAGATAACGACGATAGAACGTAATGTATATCTTGAATGGACACGCGCGTTCTCCCGTCGGACTCCGATCCTATCAAGAAACTGCTATTTACATCGATTTCATTAGTAACGCGTTCCCTCTCTCTCTCTCTCTCTCTCTCTCTCTCTCTCTCTCTCAATCGAGATAAACAAAGGGCTAAACGACAGCAGGAATATTATCCTACGACCAGAGAGTATCCGGATCTCCTCTGAAAAGGAAACTTGCATTAAAGGCAAACATCCGAAACAAGTATAAAATAAAACGAGTATGGAGCCGTGTCAAGGACAAGCTCGGTCAATCGGCAAGAAGGAAGTATAGTAGTGGCAATAGTAGTGGTGGGTGGAAGGCATCGACCTCACAACAATTCATCTCGTTCGCTCGTATAATTCAGTCATCGCCGTGGAATGCATCGCATTCAAAACACGAAGAACGAGAAGATCTCTCGAAACGCAAGCACGCACACATCGTCAGCGTATTTGTTTTCTCTCTTTATTTTCCGCGTGGTCTTAAGAAATATAGAAATTTCGTCGAATAAATATTTTACAAGATCCGCACGATGTTTCTTTGTCGCAAAGCAAAAAATAATCGCACGAGGAAATTTGTTTTTAACAAAACACTATCTGACGCATCGAATACGCGCAATAATAAGTATAGCGAAAACGCAGAGAGAGAGAGAGAGAGAGAGAGAGAGAGAGAGAGAGAGAGAGAGAGAGAGAGAAAGAAATAAGGATCGAACGTGCTTCGAACCCGTTTCTCTTTTCATCGATTCTTTTTTCTTTCGATATTATCGCAAAGTATTATATCAGCTAGCTCAAAGCCAAAGGAAATACATAAATCAGATCGATCTCCGTAGAGCCGAACGCCTACCTTCCTTCTCGAGACGAGTAACTTTACTTTGTCGTTACAACGAGCGAGCAAATCGCGGACGTCGACGTGTAGTACCGGCTCTCGACTCTTTATCTTTTTTAACAACGTCATCCTCCGGCTGCGATCCGCCTTCTTCATCATAGTGATTCATCGTAAAAGCAGCGCCGTTGTTTTTCTCTCATCCTTGGTCGAAGTTACAGGTGCGGTAGTAAAAGATAAAAAAAAAACAGCTTGGTAATAAAGAGAAAGCGATCGAAAAAACACGTAGTACGTAAGTACGTTGGCTCGACTTTAAACAAAGGAGGAAAAATATGGGTAAATAATACGTGTATTCCCCGTTATCGCGTGACCGTTCGTTCGTTCTCCCTCTCTGTCTCTTTCGACTCGACATCTGACATTTTTCACTACGAACGAAAGAAGGGAAGATACGTGTTTGCGCGATAAAAACTATATTCGAGGCCAATCTACAAAGCGGCCGAACGCGCGCAAATCAATGACATAATGTTCACGTCTGCCTAATCTATCCTATCTAACGCTATATTTTCCTAAAGATTTCAACAACGATTTCAACGTTAGCGACGCGCCTTGCATCACATCTCGCATCCCTCCTCGCGTTCTTAGGGATTAATTCGAGTAAACGAGCGACGCAATATCTTTTCTAAATTACGACGAAGACGCGCAATAATGTGAAATTACGTTCGAAGATTGAACGAGAAGAAAATACCAGTGAATCGTACTATATTCGACTAGCATACCATAAGTATATGCTATACGCATATATATATATATATATATATATATATATATATATGTTTATATCGCACGTATGATAAATTGGTGCAGCATACCGTTGGCGGGCCAACGCGTCATTTATTTAGAGTACAAAAATAAGAATAAAAGAAATAAGAAAGAGAAAGAATAAGAGAGAGGGAGAGTTTACACTTTCGTCGACGGTACTGGCTACATAAACAACCGATTGCCACAATCAGCGTTTCTTATTCCTCTTTCAATTTTTCTACGTCAACGGTTGTGTCGTTGGCTCGACTCTGTCGATGGAACGCCGTCGTCATCGAGTCCTCCTTCTCCTACAGCATGACGATGTGAAGACAAATTTTGCGAAAAAGACGTAATAAGGTATCTCTTTCTACGAGAGAATCTTCACGTCACACGTCTTCTCCACTATCTACGTGCTTTCGTCATCGTCACGCGTACGTTAATACTATACGTATACGACATATGTAAGCACATACGTATACGCTTCTTTTACGTTAGTCCGTTACGTTAATGGTAATCGATCATAGCGAACGTAATGAACTCGAATTTATGTCAAAATAGTCCTTTTCTACTCGCGACCGTCGAACGCTCATTTCAATTTCAAATTTAACAGCAATAGGATAAAGACGATTCGATAAAAATATGGTTTATCGAAGCAACGACTTTATTTCTTCGCAAAAGCAAAAATATTGCGTTATCGCGAATCAAGGATGATTAAAGAGATATAGAAGAAAAACGAAGGACGACGTTGTCGAAAAGAAACTTGTGTTATTTACTATACGCGTTGACAAATATAGAATACCGTAAGATAATGCATAAAAATTTTATTCACCTTCGGTCGCGTGATTTCACGCAGATAACGCATACACGCGAGCGAATAAACTAACTACATAATATTATGAAAAACGAATGTTTAGAAAGTCATCCTCTCTCTCTCTCTCTCTCTCTCTCTCTCTCTCTCTCTCTCTCTCATTTCGTAAGCTAACAGGAAGCGATGGTACTAATTCAAGTTCGAGAGTGTCACGCATATACATAAAATCATATATATATATATATATATATATAAGAGAAAGAGGGAGAGAGTGAGAGAAAGAAAGAAAGAGAAACGACGAAACGACGACTTTGAAAAGAACGCGTTCCTATCCACCCACGTTAGCTATCAGAAGCAAGTTTATACGACGCTCTATTTCAAAGGTCCGTTATACGCGCGTGCCATGGTCACTTGGCTTCCATCTCAACTTCCTCTTCCCTTTCTTTTCTGCTCGAAAGTAAAGCTTTGCGCGTGCTCTGTTGTACGATGAAACTCGGGGAGTTTGATTCGTTTCAATTAGCTTATCCGAGCGTAGCGTAGCCATGACAGAAAACTAATAGCGCACCAAACCTTTTGGCCAAAAGACTCGTCCGTCGAAATATCTTTGGCTACTTCTCTCTTTTTCTGTATAAAGTCTAGGTCATCGAACGAGCTTACTCACGATACGATTCGTGTACTTTACCCAGATAGATAGAGGGCCAAATAAACGAGGACGTAACTCGTGCAATGCGACGAGTAATCGTCAAGAACGAAAAGAGTATTTTTACTTTCAATTTTGATACGCGCGTTAACACGGACACGTACGTTAATCGCGATAATCTTATCTCGAAGTCATTAAATATAACACATCAGTAATAAAATAAGAAAGAGAGTGAGAAAGAGAAGAAAAGAAACGAAATTTTGTCGGTACACGGGCGAAGCAAGCAAAACAAGTTTGTTTGTTCCAATGAAAGAGATATGCGCACGGAAAATACGTGTACGTAGGTGCCCTCCTCCTATATATGAGAGCGATGTGAGTCACTCGATAGCATTTTACAGCCATCCCAGATCCGATTTAATCCTCACGCGATATCTCAACAACAACGGTGACGATCGACGTAAAACATCTATGTATGTATGCTTATGTACGTGGCATCGTACGACGAGACCTCGAGAAAAACAAGTGGTACTTCTCTCTCTCTCTCTCTTTCCTTCTTTCTCGATACTTGTGAATGGACCATTGGCCTTTCGAGGTCAAGCGAGTCTATGAGACCCGACGCTATCGGAAAACGTACGATGCGACGCTCCAAGATGTTTCGTAAAGAAATGTACAATTTTGAAACGTTGTGTCTTCCGTCGTTGTCGATATCGATGAAGTTCTAACGTAAGAACTAATGTATGAAAATAATACTTACGACTAAAGAGATTTGCGTACAAATTACACGCAGGCAGTACTAATGCCAAGCCGAGCCAGCGATTTACGAGCGAACGACCCTTCTACTTCCTACCGACCCTCGTATCGTTATCGTCCACGCAACATCTTCTTCATCGCATCGTTCGACTTTTTTTACATGACCTTTCAACGCATATAATCATACTTTATCAAGCTGAATAACTTGTTCAAATCTATCCAACTAATATTCTCGAAGGAACGGCTGAATATTTTTCTATTCCGTTGCAATATCATCGCTTTCTTTCACTTTCTAATTCAATGGATGAAGAAACGAATAATGATCGACAAATTGTTATTTTGTCTTAGAGATAGAGACATTCAAGCGTGACGTTTACAGTAACAATACAAAAATGATTACTTTCTGGTTATTTCGTTCTTTTTGCGGAAATAATCGAGCGGAAAACAATACGACGCGGAAATAGCGATGGACGTCACTTTTGAGAGGAATTCCGAGTATCGAAATTCTATTTTCGAAATAGCCCGTGATTTTGCGTACCCGTCCAATATACGAGACGACGTTTATCGAGAGAGAGAGAGAGAGAAAGAGAGAGAGAGAGAGAGAGAGAGAGAGAGAGAAATAGCGCGCGCGTGTGTTCCGTAATTGTGTTCGTATATAAGTAGCTAGCTATCGCTTTATCTGGAAACGTAAGTTTACGCTCGATTTGATCCTATTACGTTCTCTTCGTCATGCATCGGAATGATTCTTGCGATGACGATCGCAACGATTTCTCAATTTTTTTCTTCAATTTTTTTCTTCAAACATATTCATCGCTAAGTTAATCATCGAGCAATCAAAACAAACGACGTGCGATAAAAATATTATTACTATCGTGTTTTGTCTTGGCATTAATTGTAAGATGTATTTATTGGGATGGAACAGAAGAGAAAAAAAAAATTCTTGAACGAAGAAACGGAATTGAGAAGTGTGGTTTATCCAAGACATTCGGTGAATCGCGTTAGTCCTTGAAGATAATCGAAACTTTCGTCTAGACGTACACGAAAGGAACTCGTAACGTATCTCTAAGCCACGAGCGTCCTTACGTTACTCAGTCACGAAATCGTGCCAATGCTTTAAAAGAAGCGAAGAAAGCGTCGTGGGAATATGAAAGACGGAGGTGATCGACGTATGGTTCAAACTCGATTTCAACTAGACTTTATTCGAAGCGTCGAATTGACGGAAAAGCTAAAAGTACTCGTAATACATACTCGACGATATCCAGCTGTTTATGGTTATTCATTCAACGATGCTCGGTCTCTGCCCGATGTCATCAAAAATCCGACGGAATCTTTTCGCATATTTCGTTTGTCCATTAGAGCAGACCAATTATATATTTAGTTCGAAAAGTTATTTGTCGCGATAACAATGTTCCTCGCTTTGACGCACTCCGCACTCGATAAAAGTAACTGGCATCTCATTGCCGCGTCCTCGCTATGTCCTCCTTCGAGCAACAATATTTTCCCTTGGGTAAACGCGTTCTTGATCGAACAATCGGTAATCCTTAATGTTATCGTCGATCGATCTTCTTCTTTCCCCAATTCTCTTTCATAATTCGTCATAAAGAACGCACCCGAGAGAAGAAAAAAAATCGTGCAAAGGCGCGAAAAAAATTGTACCTCACTCCACGACGAAACGAATCGCGCGACTGCCTGCGCTATACTGACACTGGGTACGCTTCATAATAAAAGCTGGCGCCTCGTCGATCTTAGGAACAGTCGCGCGCAGTCGCGTGATCGCCTACGCCACCACGAATCTCGCGGTCTTCTCCTTATCGCCCAAATTAGAAAGAACCGCATGATTTTTCGGCGAGAGCACCAACGACCCGCGATGCTCTTTCATAGAGATCGAGCAAAAGAATTCTTTATTTCGATACGTAAATCTAGTCGAATAGTAGTACTTCGAGTATGACGTTCTTCAATCGAGATATCAAAATCTCATCGTCGACCATTGCTCGTCGGGTCTTCCAATGCGATTAAAATATAATACAAAAAGGAAGTCGTTCTATTTTATTCTAATAACTAAGAAATATTCGTATTAGAGATAAGGAAAATGGGAATCGCTCCGGCGATCGCGACGGTCATGTGATCCTTTATTGTGATAATGAACTAACGATAAGTCTCTCCGCGGTGATTATAATGAGAGGGACGGATCGAAGAATTGCGTCGTTAGTTATGAATGAACAAAACGCGTTTTTCTGCTTCTCTATCTCCTTTCCCGAGTTCTTCCAACTTGCGATATCAACGGCATTTTTATTTTGTTAACAGGATATGAGCGTATGTATGTTTATCGTTTCCATCCTAAATTTAAAGTGCGGTTAAATCTATACTACAACATTGTCGCGGTTATCTAATTGAGTTATTGTCGATAGGTCGAGAAAGAAAAAATTATCGTTATCGCTTTTCCCGTTGAAAGAAAACAAATAAGAAAGTTGTGAGTCTTTTTGGATTCCGTGGCTCACGGAAGCACGCGTTAAAAAAGTGGAACGACGAGCTTCGACTGTTGACGAGACCCGTCTATCCGGGTCAAAGAAAAATGTGTAGATTGTTAAAAACACGTTTACCTTGTAAGAGGAGCGTAACGGATGTATCATTTGACAAGAATATCGCGGC